GTTTTTTTTTTTTTTTTTTTTTTAGTGATTTCCATCGTCCTGACCCGAAGCTCTGCACAGACCCTGTTTCCCCCACCAGCTGTGTGGGGGCCGCAGCCTTGCTGACCGGTGCGCGTCCTCCCAAGCGTTGGGGGCTTTGCCCCACGGCCCTCGAGCCACTGTCGGCTGCCAGACCTGAAGACCCCATCGGGTGTCTTCTCTTCGCTTTTGGCTTGCGCCTGCCTCTTTTATTCCTCAGCTCAGCCTTGCCCCGTGTGAGAGGGAACCTGGGACAGAAGCCTCCGTGCACAGCCGGCCGCAGCCGCGTCCTCCTCTCCCGCTGCCCTGCTCCTCCTCCTCAGCAGGGCTCCGTGAAACCTTCTTCGAACTTCTTAACCCTCTACTCATCTCCTTTCACTTCTGCTCTCTTGACTTCCTTTTCAGCTGTGCCTTTCCATCTCTGCCCTATTTCTCTTTACTCTTTTGACCCCAGTCACCCCCCAGTACATATTGGTGGCATCTCCCAGTGTTTTCACTGAAGACTGTGCGTCTAGTCCCCTTGGGATTCTGGCCTGTGTTTAGCCAGAGGAAGGGGTTTGTTCGTGTCTCTCTCCCCTCCTCTCCTCTCTCTCTCTCTCTCTCTCTCTCTCTCTCTCTCTCTCTCTCTCCTGTCTCTCTTTCTGTGTGACAGAGTCCTGAGTTGGATGTGACCTCAGAGCTCATAGTTCTGTGTGTGTGAGACAGAGAGAGAGAGACACTTTTCTTGCAGCCTCTCAACACTGAAGCCCCCTTGTAGAGGTGGAGAGAGCAGAGCACCCCGCCAGTCACCACTCAGGGTTCACTGTCTCCTGCTCTGGATTTCCCTGTTGGTGTCTGGAATCTGTGTGACAGAGTCCTGAGTTGGATGTGACCTCAGAGCTCATAGTTCTGTGTGTGTGAGACAGAGAGAGAGAGACTTTTTTCTTGCAGCCTCTCAACACTGAAGCCCCCTTGTAGAGGTGGAGAGAGCAGAGCACCCCGCCAGTCACCACTCAGGGTTCACTGTCTCCTGCTCTGGATTTCCCTGTTGGTGTCTGGAAGGCGCGGGCTGTCAGACTTCTGTCACCTGCTGGCTGACCTGTATAAAGTCACTTGCACGACTGCTTGGCTGTGGGCCGAGGCCCTCGGTGGGCCTGGGCCGCTGCCATCTGCTCTGTTGGAGCCGGTGGGCTCCCTGACGGACGCTCTTGAGGACCTGTTCTTGAGAGTCTGAGTGTCCTGTGTGCTCTGAGGCCTGAGGAGGCCCTGCTGGCTTCTGCCCGGTGCCCGTGGATTGGATGTTTGTGCCTGTTAGCAGGTGGTCTTCCCTGGGGAGGAGCAGGGCGCTCCTGGCCTCTCCTCAGGCTCTTCAGAGGGCTTGAAGGCGTGGCTCGTCTCTCATCACCGGAGATCTGGCTCTGGAGTCCAGTGCTGGGGTTGGAACTTTTGTTTCCTCATTCTTTCACTGCTGAGGGGTCTCTGCGTAGCTCTAAGAGTCTGCTCAGACAGGCTTGCAAGTCACCATGGACTGAGAGGCAACACAACGGAAATTTATCTTCTCACAGTTCTGAAGGCTGTAAATTCAAGATCAAGATGTTCGTTTCTTCTGAGGGCTGTGAGGCAAGGATGCATGCCAGGCCCTTTGTGGGCTGTGGGGTCATCTTCTCCCTCTGAGACCACCAGTGTCCAGATCCTCCTTGTAAGATTGTGTTCTAATGGACTAGGGCCCACCCAGTGACTTCTTGTTATCCTAACTTCCTCTTTAAAGATCCTGTCCCCAAACGCAGTTTGAGGTACTGGGAGATTAGAACCTCAGCATCAGAATCTTGTGTAGCTGTTTAGCTGGTAACAGCCAGGTGAGGTTGGTTCAGGCAGATCAGGGCTGAGAGAGGAGCCCCTCACTTTCTTTTTCTTTTTGGTACTGGGGATCGAACTCAGGACCTTGCACTTGCCAGGCAGGCAGTGGCACCACTGAGCTAAACCCCCGGCCTGGAGCTCCTCACTTTTAACCCTAGGGCTGCGGTCTCTGAACAAGTTCCTGGCAGAGTTTTATCCAGGTTTTTAAGTTGGAGCTTTCGTTCATTCTGAGATTGTTTCTTCATGTGTAAAATAAGTTCTGATCCACTTCATGAAGCTTTTGTGCAGAGTAGTGGTATTAATTGCCCTGAAGACGCGTTTACTGTGTGACTTGTGATCTTGTGAGGTGTAGGAGTTATTGTTTCCCCTATTGTACAGATAGATGTAGAAACTGAGGTGCAGGAAGATCAAACAGTTTGGGTTGCACAGTTACTAGGTTTCCAGAGCTGGAACTTGAACCCAGGCTCCTGAAAGAAGAAAGCCTAGGCCTAAGTAAAATGCCTTTACCCTGGGAAAGCTTAGGAGTCCATTTAGTGGCTTTTGCTGAGGTCTCCAGGGTCTGGGTGGGGTGGGACCTTTAGCACCCTGGGGGTGGACGCTGGGAGAGGGTCCCAGCCTGGCTTCTCCCAGAGGCGAGTGAGGATGGGCAGATTGAGGGCCCCCTGGCTCTGGACAGCCTGTCACACACCTTTTCTGACCAGCACCTCCTTTCTGCCACACAGGGTGATGTGAGCAGAGCCCAGGAATGCCTTATGTGGATCGGCAGAACCGAATCTGTGGGTTTCTGGACATCGAGGAGAATGAGCACGGTGGCAAGTTTCTGCGGAGGTACTTTATTCTGGACACCCAGGCCAACTGCCTGCTCTGGTACATGGACAACCCCCAGGTGAGAGGCAGCGTGGGAGGGAGGGCGTGCGGCCTGGGAGGGGCACACACAGGCCCAACCTCCAGGGCCTCTCCAGTAAGGAGGGGTAAACTCCCAGGCCGACTCAGATACAGAGACAGACAAGACACTCTAGCATGCAAAGAAAACTGTTTAGCTGGGTGTGGTGGCGCACGCCTGTAATCCCAGCACTCAGGAGGCTGAGGCAGGAGGATCACTGTGAGATCAAGACCAGTCTGGGCTACACAGTGAGTTCCAGGTCAGCCTCAACTATACAGTGAGACCCTGTCTCAAAAAACAAACAAACAAAGAAAACTGTTTCAAGGTCTGGGGTGTAGTTCAGTGGGTTCAACGCCTGGCACTGCTAACAAAACAAAACAGAAATAAATAAAGAAAAAGAAAGAAAACTATCTCAGATCCTAGCTTGAGGGAGGGGAAGCCTTTCTGGACCTAGATCTGGTGCTTTTTTTTTTTTTTTTTTTTTTTTTCCATGTGTAGGAATTTAACCCTTGCCAAAGTCAGGCAGAGGCTGGCCAGGCGGGCTCCAGGGCCAGGGCAGGGCTTGCTCCTCTCCCCTCTCCTCAGGGCTGTGGCCTGCTGGCTGCTCCTGCTCTTCCAGTCTGAGGCCCCTCCCCAGTGGAGTATGTGACCTGGTTCTCCGAGTGGGACAAATGTTGGACGCTTTTGGTCTCCTGAATCAGGAAGGCGTGGACCTCAGAGCTCACCTGGTTCTGCTTCCTGTTGCTGCGGATGAGAAAACTGAGTCTCAGACATGGCAGTTGACTTAGTTAACAACTTCCTTAGCCTTTTAAGGAGTCTGGGGTAGAAATGGCGGCTACCTAAATTTTATTGCTGTGCCTGGGGGTCTCTGGAATCATCACTGATCTGGGAAAGAATCTCTCTTCGGGAGCTCATTGGTTTTGTTTCTGTTCTTTCTGGTATTGAGTGCTGGGATCGTGGCCAAGTGGGGATGGAGGACGGTGTGTGGGCTGGGGTTTGGCTCTGTTCTGAGGCTCAGGAAGAGAAGGTCAGGGGTCCTGTGAATCTTGAGCCCCGCCCCCCGGGGCCAGCCCCCTGGAGGCCTTTGCTGCATCTGATGGCTGAGTATTTTGTAGATGCAGAAGACGTATGCGGAAAGTCAGCTGCTGTGAGCTCCCTTCTCCGGGGAGACAGCCCTCCGTACAGCTGCGCCCCGTGCACCCCTCACCCCTGAGAGGCCAGGCCCTCACTGTCGTTTGACTGGATTCTGCATCGGGCGTTGTCTACCCTCTGCTCGTATCTCACTGTGCTTGGTCTAGTTTTGCTTCCGCCCCTGCTGTCTCAGTTTCCTTGCCTTTGCTCTGTGCAGATGCCCTCCTCTGGTGCAGCAGATCCATCGTGCACGGAAAGAGAATCGAGGGTCTTCTTCACCACTGTTGGAGGGACTCGAAGTTAAGTCTTTGTTGCCAGTGGACGTCACTTTGGCATGCTAGGCGGGACCCTGGGGATGAGGGTCTCCGGTCCCTTTCCCTTAATGTCCCTTCTCCCACTCACCTGCCATGTTAGCTCAGCGAGCTGGAATGGATTTGGTCTTCATTTACCTGCTTCCCACCGTGCTGCCCCATGAGAACTACCCTGAACCCACATCCTCTTACTGAGGGCATCCGGCTGCCTCTCCAGAGAACCGGGCCTTTCTTCAGACCTTGTGACACGGAGTCTTGCTGTCATTGACTGGTCTCCCAGGACCGCAGGGACACTGTCTGGGATCTCGACTGTTGCTGGTTGTTCATTTCCCTCATTCTGACCCCTGATTTCATTGTCACTTGGGCCACCTGGGCCAAGGCTCTGGGTCAGGTGCTGTAGCAGGGCCCGTCCTATTCAGGGCAGACTCCTCACCCATGGCCCTGGGATCTCAGGGGGCTCTTCGTGGGAACCTCCTTTGAGTTTGAATCACCAGACAGAACTTACGCGTCACCCAGTGCGGCTTTGCTCTGCTCCTGCCCATGGGAGGCTGGGGACTAGGACGAGGTGGAGCGGCGGACCGGTCCCATGGCTCGGGCTCCTTTACATTTCCCAGGAAGGAGTGGATTTCAGCTGGCTTGTCATACGCCCCCAAAGGAAGAGACCTGCTGTGGCACAGTGACAGTTCAGAACTTTTCACTTCTTTAGTTCTTAGTTTGTGTTCATGGTCAAGCAACACTCTAGATGTGAGAGTAGATGCTTTGCTAAATTGTAAAATGGTACCAGAGCACATTTATCCATATGTGCCAAGCACAACTCATTGTGTTTTCATACAGACAGCAAGTCTAACTGGTAGATATTGTCGCCCTCATTCTAGAGGTGAAGTAGATGAAGCAGAGAGGGAAAGACATTTGCCCATACTTACATAACAGGAAGGTGGCAGAGCCAGGATTCTCAGCCTGACAGTTGGCTCCGGTTCTCCTGCCATTGTTGCTGATATCAAGACAGTCATTTCCGGGATTCGTGGGAAGGAGAAAAGCCTGAAGAGGCAGAGGCAGTGTCTGGTGAGGACAGAAGCCGGGGGACTCGGGCCAGAGAGGCTCTAGTGGGCCCGGAGCGCACCTGGTCTACTTTTGAGCCATGCAGTGTTCAGCACCGGATAAATGTTTGCTCACTGAATGAATGAATAAACGAGGGAAAGGAGGCCGGGGAGAGGCCGTCGGGGACAGGTCCTCAGGAGGTACAGAGCGGTTCAACTCTCCGGGGCCGGGGACAGGGCCAGGACTAAGTGGAACCCTGAGGACTGGGGCACCTCAGGGTTGTGGTCTGTCCCTGTGGGAGAGGCACCGAGGCTGGCACGGTCATTCAACATCTTCCTTTTGAGGGAGAGGAGACCCTTGATGTGGCACCTTAGTTTTTTTTGTTTTTTTTTTCTTGGTGCTGAGAATCGAACTCAGGATCTTGCTCTTGCCAGGCAGGCATGGTACCCCGGAGCTAAATCCCCAGCCCATCACCTTAGTTATTTAATAGGCATTAATAAGCAAGGATTTCTGAATCCGGGCTTTTGATTTTTGCCTGATGAAGCAGCCTAGTAGTCAGTATGCCCTGGGCCTGTTTCTCTGTTGCTGTCTCTACTGCTGTTACTACCAGTGTGGCTGATACTTCCTGAGTGGTTAGCACATTGTATGAAATGCTTTGCATATATTATCTCATGAAATGCCCTCGGTAATCCTTTGCTGTGTGGTCCAGGATGGTTTGCAGCTCCTGGGCTCAGGCAGTGCTTCTGCCTCAGGACCTCAGGGACCCCTGGCGTCAGGTATCAAGATGCCAGAATGCTGCTTGTGGGAATAGGAGTTTCAGTATTCCTGTGCTGCCAGGGCCTGCAGACGGAGTCTCAGGTGGAAAACTGTCAGCCCTGATAGGAGAGCGAGGCTGCCAACTGGGCTCTGTGACTCGTCTGATTTGTCTCAAGTGCTCTCCCGGAGTGTGGACACTCCAGAGGGTCTTTCACATGACTTTTAGCCCTGCCTTCCTTTCTTCCTTTCTTTTTTTTTTTTTTTTTGTTTTGGGAATTGAACTTGGGCCCTTGCGCTTGCGAGGCAGGAAGCAAAACTAGCCCTTCATTTCCTGACGGCCTGTGAGGAGAAAGATACCCAACACATAACTACTGAACTCATGATGTGTATCACACACCAAGCGAAGCTGCAGATGCCGAGGCTGCAACAGGGTTGAGACAAAATCCTTGGCTTCCCAGAGCCCACGCTGTAGACCAGGAGGAGGAAGATTAACACGAATGGGTTGGGGAGAGCTCGGGACACCCCTCTGTGGAGGTGCAACGCTAGGGCTGGCTTTTGAAAAGTGCCTGAGGTCACATACTATTCACATTTGCAGAGCATTTTGCAGGGTTTGAAGCATTTTCATGGGCAGGGTCTCATGTGATCATTGTCCCTACCTTGTCTGAGGAAGGGAGAAACAGTGGTCATTGTGGCAGAAGAGAGTGCTAGAGATTAGGCTCTCCAGAGGAAAACCTTGTGAGGAGTCAGGTCCCGACAAAGGTTTGTGGGTGAGGTCTTTCTTAAGGAAATGCTCCCGGGGTGCTGGTCAGGAGGCTATGAGTGCAGGCTGAGTCACCCTGGGAAGCTTTAGCTTATTTTAGCCTATGGAAGCTCTGGGGTGAGGTAAGCCCGAGACAGCAGGGCTGCCATGTGCTGCCCTGGATGTGTGGGTGACAGGCCTTCTGCAGTGGAAGGGGTCCCCTAGGGCTGGGCTGAAGGCACGTGGTAGGAAGTGATGGTGTCTGCTGTGTGTCATGCAGTGGGGAAATGTCACACAGGCAGTGTGGGCCCAGCGCAGCCTTGATATCAGGCAGGACTTAGAACCAATGTGCTAAAGGAATCGAGGTTTTCCACAGAGGTGTCAGTGACACCAAACTGAAGACAAAACCCATTAGCCGAAAGGGACCCCTCTCGGTGGAAGTTTCAGGATTACTGATTATGGCCACTGATTTGGCTAATGCATTTAAAAGCCAATATGCCGCTAGCATCAAGCAAACAGTTCTTTTTTTTTAATGGCAGTAAGATTTTGATTTTTTTTGGTAATGGGGATCAAATTTGGATCCCTGTGCTTGCAAGGCTGGGGCCAGAACCACTGAGCTACATCCCCAGCCCTGCAGTGAGAATATTTAACATAAGATCTACCCTTTTAATAAATTTCGAAGTGTGCGATGCTATGTTGCTGGCTATAGGCACAGTATTGTTCAGCAAACCTCTTTCTAGAGCTGACTCATCTGGGCAGTGTAAACAGATAATTCTTAATTGGAGACAAACACTGGTTGGATTTTCCTTAAGACAGTACGGAGATGTGACACAGGTGTGTGTGTGTGTGTGTGTGTGTGTGTGTGCGTGCACACCTGTAGTGGCGCTGGCCATTGCGCCCAGGGCATTGTAATGCTAGGCAGGTGCTGTACCACTGAGCCACGTCCCCAGCCCCTAGCAGTTGTGTTTTGATGTGGGTCCCTGTCCTGATAAAGGAGGTGGAACGCCTCCTTTAGGGCTGCTCTGCTT